CGTGGCCTACCACCAGACGATGGACGCCTCTCACATTGTCGACTTGTATTTCCGAGAGATCATGCGACTTCATGGCATTCCTCGAACCATCACCTACGACCGGGATGTCAAATTTTTGAGCCACTTCTGGAGGACCCTCTGGGAAAAATTAGGCACCAAGCTTCAATTCAATTTGGCAACACACCCTCAAACAGATGGTTAGCTCATAGACAATAGAAGTCTTGGGAATCTTTTGTGATGCTTCAAGGGCAAAAGCAACAAACAATGGGATATCATTGTTGCGCAAGTTGAATTCGCCAATAATTGATCCATGAGCCAGACTACGGGACGCACTTCTTTTGAAATTGTGTACGGGCGCAATCCGCTCACACCCCTTGAGTTAGTACAACTTCTAAACCCATAAGAGATCAGCGCGGATGTTATCGAATGTGTTCACCAGATTCAGCAACTCCACAAGGGCGTTGGGAGAGCGATTACTAAACAGAACCACAAATATCAGATGCATGTAAACAAAACCAGGAAGAATGTAACATTTCAAGAATGAGACCTTGTGTGGATTTAACTAAAGAAAGAGTGATTACCGAAAAACTCAAACACAGAACAGATGGACATTTTCAAATACTAATAAAATTGAATGACAATACCTACAAGATTGACCTGCCCAGGGACTATAAAATTTCAATTACATTCAATGTCGCGGACCTAACACTGTACTTCGAGGATCCTGAAGCTTAGACAAATGATGTTGAAGCTCCCCCAACCATAGTAGATTGAGGCAGAGTTGTTTTAGTCGGGTGAGGCAAGGGGTCGGTCCAACCTCCCTGTTGGACCAGACCAATTAGATTCTACTTACGGCGGAAGTTCCACCCCTCCTTTATCTTGCCTGTTGAGATCCTATTTTGATCTTCTACCCCTCTTTCCTCATAATCATTGCCATCCTCCTCTGCTCTTCTTCAACCCCTTCCATTTTCAACCTCCTTCCTTTCCTAGATCTTGCCTATGCTAGACTCTAGTCTTCCCTTATTTATATAAGGTGTTTTGCTTAGGTTTAACTAGTTGTTGATTTCTGATTTCTGGTGTGCCTTTAAGGCGTCTCTCTTCCAAGGGTTGTATTCGAAAGTGAGTTGTGCTTCGGCTATACCTCATATGAGGTAGTGACTACCTCCCTTCGACCTTGCCTGCCCCCTCCAGTCACTGCCTGTCACTCCCGACTTCATCCCACTAGTCACCAAACTTGTTGCCCCCCCCCACCCCCTCTGATTCCCTTCCAACAGCCCGCCTACCACCTCCAATAACAGAGTAGACTACCAACACTGTTGCCCCCTCAGCTTCCTTGCCAACAATCTGTCAGCCCATTTCAGCATCTTCCAGCAGTCTTTCAAGCCCCTTCCAACAAGTAATAGTCATCCCAAACTCCTTCCAACGGGCCGCAAACACTATTGTTCCAGCATTACCCTGTTGAATCAATCGCGGTTTATTAGAGAGGGTGGTGTCTTTGTGTCTTTCCATTTTCTTATTCCCGTGGTATTTATATTGTTTACTATTTTACAAGCATGTGTTGCTCCGTCAAAGAAGTGTCGTTGTACTATCTTGATTGCAACAATAAAATGTTTCATTCGAGTCGTGGTTTGGGTTAACTCCAGTATCAGAGAAAGAGAATCAAAAGCAACAATACAAATATTTCATAATGACACCACTAATTGAAAAAGGTCGCAAATATAAAACATATAACAATTTACAAATTAACTGAAAAAATTATATATTAATTCACATACTTCAACCGAAACCAATGATATGACATAGCAACTATATAGCCTTTGGTACATTATAACCAAAAAAAAAACTTGAAAATAATTGTTGACCTCTATTTCAAATCCATAACATGACATTAAAGTGTACACTGTTCAATTTAATCGCACTACTAAGAGAATGCCCCTAAAAGCGGTTATGGTCAACAAGTCATTGGGTATGCCGAAAGCCTCTTATGTCTACGAAAGCACCAAAAAACGGCCATGATATCAAACCCCAAGATCTCATTAGAGGCCCATCATCAAGATGATGGTCGCAATAATCACAATGATAAGACCCGAATTTCAAAATATAAATAGGTAGTGTGGGTCAATGTTAATCAACTACCAAAGAGATTTCCAAAAAGGACTTCAGTCAAATTCTAACAACTCCCTCATGGACTTATAGGAAGCAGCTAGGTTTTTGAAAGTTTTAAATCAATTTTGAATTTTTTAATATCACATGGGGATAGTGAATCACTGCAAGAAATATTGTGGTGTGCTTGCTCTAGGAACCACCAAGAGTAAGGTTTTTGCGGAATTGTTTCATTCTAAAAAAGAAAAAATCAAGCAAGGATTTACATTTTGCTCCCCTCTAGAACAAAATATCAACCATACACATCTTTAGAGGTGTGGTGGGAAAGCTTGCTCCAATATTCTATTCTATTATAATATCATGCTTCAAGAATTTTACAAGGCCCCATATGAGCCTTCGAGTGTGTAGCGGGAGTGAAGACAATATGCTTGCTTTACAAGACTCAAGCATGCTTTTAATAGTGATACAAACACTCTTTTAGACTTACTCTTGTCTAAATTATGTTAATTTGTTATATGCTATGAAGACTCGTATAAACCTTTGAGGCATGGTGGGGTAGTCCAGTGAGAACTGAGGTGCTTCAATCACTACTCATACAAGCTTTTGAAAATATCGTAAGAGACCTATATGAGGTTACAATGCCTCTTGCATTGACCCACAAATGCTTATGAAAATGTAGCGGGTAGACTTGATCCATTTCCCACTGACCACTTCATATGGGTGATATGAAAGTGCAACCCAAATAGGCAAGTCCTTCCCAATGGCATAAATCGTCACAACACGCCATGGTTACATAGCATAAATTATTGGTAAAATAGACCCTCAACAAAAGTAACATGAACAAAAATATATGATGGGTGAAAAACCTAAAATGCACCTAAGAGAGTGTAAAATATTGAAGTAAAACAAAATAAGCATTTAATAAGTTCAATTTATACAAACTTTCGAGAGCTCGTCATCATCAACAACTAATTAAAACATTGGTTCAATTCACAGGTGAGGTCAACTGAGACTCCCTCTGCCTCCTCGACATAACAGTAAGGAAAAAAAAGATTTAAACTCAAAGTACGTAGAAATATACTCCAAAAGCTTATTTATATTTATTCTATTAAAAAAATTATTTATAGCCAGTTAAATCAATATTCTTTCACTTGAATCTTCACAACAAAGACAAATCAACATGATGGTTGACTTCAAATTCCACTTCAAAGTGAAAATAATTAAATTGCACGCTTTTATGTATAACACGTTTTGAGACTGATTTCATATCGCCGCAGGATAAAATTCATGACTATATCTAGTTACATGATAATATTTTTTTTATCAGAAGATTAGCGCAGATGTGCCAACATAAACGTATTAAAGCTTAGGACAAGAGCTAGAGTGTTGGCATTAAAAAGAAAGATGATTAAACATCGAAACTATTTTGTTGAATTTTCAACCAATTTCCCACCTTTCCCATACTTCCTTAAGCTTTTAAATCAATTTTCATGATTTTTCAAAAAAAGGTAATAACAAAATTACATGTAATATGAATTATACTACTTTCCATCAAGTTTGTCTCTATTTTCCTTCACGGTGTGCACAAAACCCGTGTCATTCTCTCCTCTGGCTTAACCCACGCACCACCCCACTTGGCGCAATCTCAACCAAATCGTCAATAGCAATGATGACCGCATCATTGTGCCTTTTGGGGCCTCAAACAGCCACTAAGCCTATAAAACCCCCCAAAAAAAAAGATCCAAACACACGGGGAGGAATTAATAAGTTATCCAAATGCTATCCTTGAGCATAGTCGAGCACTATTGTGTCCAACTTTGTTTTCATCCGCCTTAATGACACCTTGTGAGTGAAATTCATCAAACATTACAGCTGAACTTCACTGATGCTCACTTATTCTTGGATCAAGAACCTACGTTCCGTCTTTAGATATCTTAAGAGAAATAGTCATTGGTATTATTACAGTGCTCTCCTTAAGATTAAGTGTTTCAAAATTTACATATAACGTTAGCCCAAAAAGTTCAACAAAATACCTTATTTGTAATAGATAAATAAGTTTTGATTTTTCTTCATTATTATTAACCATTTTTATACAAAGTAAAACCTCCAGACCATGTTTAAAAGGTAAATTCAATACTATATTTAGAAATAAAAATCTTAACACTAACTTTACGAATATATATATCCCAAAATATAAGGATGTTTAATAAAGTGCTTCCTAGAATTGAGAGTGAAATATTATGGAAATTTGATGAAGCTCGCCAGCTGTTCATTTCATCCAAGATGAATCCTTCAACAAACTAAAAATGAATTCCTTTTCCAACCACCAAACTTTCCTCATGAATATCTTCAATACATTGGAATTTTTCAATATTAGGCATTATGTACTCAGTTGAATCTGTACAACAGCATTTTTCATGCAATCCTTCCTCTAACTTTTTGGCTTCGAATGCAATAGATCCACTCCTGCCTTCTCTATAATAAATAAAATCTTTTACTGGTGAAATCTGTAAAAAATTAGCATGTTTAAATTCCCTTTATTCAATGAAAGTCAGTCAACATAAAGCACTCGGAAAATTAGCCTGAGTTAAAAATTTTATCATTTTACAGAAAGGGTAATATTTAGGTTAACTTAAAGCTAAAATAAATGTTGTCGATCAGAGTGAAATATAAAATCACCTCTAAAAATAACTTTCAAGTGAAAAGGTTGCTTATTAAAACAGTGGATTGGCTTCAGCATTACAAGTTCAGTCAACGTTAACTAAAGAAAATATCAATGCTACCTCCGTTCAAAGTCCAAACATTTCTGACAAGCCCACAGAAATGTCGCATTAATTTCAAATATATGCATCTACGCAGATACGGGGATACAAGTTCAGCATAAGAACACAACTTACAGTTTCACCATCAGTAATCGTAACAGAACCACTAGCTTGCCTCCCAATATGACCAGTTTCAACCAAAATCTGCAGTGAAAGGCAGGACAGCGATTCAACTAAAGATTCGTTTAATGATAACTTGAAAAAAAAAAAAAAAAGTTTCCCAATTTACGCGTCAGGTGACTAAAACTAAAGAAGAATTTAAAAGATAGCGCAACGTAGAAAAAAAATTATGAAGGTAAAATCATTCGCAACCACGAAGCTGATTAAATTCCCGTTGCCCGGCGTGCTTCAATCCGATAGAATCCCCATAGAAATACAAAGAGATTACGCGTGGAGATAAAGCCAGCTAACAAAATAAGCTCAAAACCAAACCAATCAGATGCAGCGATTAAGCTCAAATTCAACAATAAAACCAACTAACAAAACAAGCTCAAAACCAAACCAATGTTACGAAAGGAAATAAGAAGCCATAAAAGATATAAATCTCACATGTCGGTCGCCCACGGGGATCCTGACCGAGTGCTTCTGCGGCGCCGAAGTGCTCTCTTCTTCAGCGTTCTCCGTGACTTCCGACTCCATCGAAACTCTAAGTTGAGTTCTTCTCGCGCAGAAAGAATGGAGACAAAAGGAACTGCGGCGCGAACGCTCCCCGCTCTCACTTGGGAGAATGCGGTGGGATGAGGAGGGTAGACTTAGGGTTCGCTTTCTGAGAGAGAACAAGGGTGGGATAGAAAGCGGGGGAACGGTTCCGCCAAGAAGCACAGGGTTTGCAAGCATTTCGACTCTTCTTCTTCCTTCTCCTTCACCTCTTCTTGAAGGTGACAAGGGTTCTGGAAGGAGTTCTTGGAGTGCGAGGAGCAGGCTTTATCCGTTAGAGTGAAGTAATTGTGTGATGTATGTGTTGGGTGCTCCTCGTTGCCAAAAAAAAAAAAATTTAAAAAAATTAATAAAAAATAAAAATAAGATCCATCAAAATATATTTTACGTTGATTGAGGATGAAGGTCGAACACTACATACATCTCTAATTTTTCTGTGATGTGGGTGCTCTTATGTTTTGGGGGAATTTACATAAATATCACTAAATTCTTATGTATTTACAACAAAAATTTTATTTTTATATTTATGCGCTGCTAAATTTTTTCATATTAATAAAAAAAATGTAATTATTTTAACCCTTGAGAATTGAATGTAATTTCTTTCGTGCATTGAGTAAAAGATATCATATAGATAAAATCACAAAAGTCAAAAATTAGGTGTTAGGGGTGTGTTGTGTAATTTTTTTCTTATAATTTTAGTTTTGTCACCCCAAAAAAATAAAATTATATTTGTGAACCTTAAACTCTAAATTTTTAATCATTATATACCATGTTTATAAAATATATATTTCATATTTATTCATTTAACTCTTGGTCATTCCAAGTTTATAAAAATTTAAAAAAAAAATTATAATTATTTTAAGGGCATAATATTAAGGGGGCTTGTTCATACATACCAACAAATTTCTATGCAATTACTATCCAATATCAAAACTTTGTGTTTTATATTTATACCACACAATCTTTCTTATCAACCAAAACACTCCTATTTTAACTTTTAAAATATGAAATACACCTTTTTGTTAGACGGTCATAAATGTAAAAATTGAAACTTAAGGTGTGGTTGGGGAGCTTATTCACAGTCCGTTGTTTGAAAAAGACGTTAGGGGGGGTTTTTAAACAAGTGGTTCGCAATTTTACATTAGACGCGGAGCGAAAGACAACTCTCGCCCTCATTTTCTGTCACACGGATCTTTCGACCCCCTCGCCTTCTCCTCTGTCTCCTCCTCTCGCACGGATCTCTCGCGATCCCTTCTCTCCCACAACGAAAACTGCGATGGCAGCGAAGGGATTGCTCGTTACAGAGACCACTGAAACTCCCATCTTTCTCATCCTTGTGCACCGCTCCGACCAAGGTAAGTATCGCGCCCTACCTCTTCTTCGTTCCTCTTCATTCCTCTCCATTCGTCTCAAAATTTCCTATTCATGTCTTGGAGCTCCTCTGCAATCTCTAGGGCAAAGCGAAACATTCTGCTCTTCTTCCCATTGAGCAGGAGCAATGCTCACATCTTGTAATGCCCGAAAGGATTCATTCCTGTGGCTAGGTAAACTCTTAACCCCTGTCCTGACCTCCAATATTTCTAGGGAATAGATTAGGAAATACCGCAATAGTTTTTCGTTCTGTGTTTCTTGTTTAACGTTTTCCATCCAATAATCTAAAACATTGAAATAGATTTTACAATGCTGCAATAGTTGTAGGTGCCTTGTTACAGTTCAAAGCTTTCCATCCAATGTTCTTGAGGCATTGGAATATATTTTTTAAAGCCGAAAGATTCGTTGGTGCCTTGTTTCCTATTCAATGCTTTCTATCCAATTTTTATTTATCCAGAACAAGGGAGGAATTGTCATTTATCCAGAATCAGCTATTTTTCAAGCGCAAAAACCAAACAGCCCGCCAGCTTATTAAGATAAGCTGCTAATCAACAAATTATAGGATAAGTTGTTTATCTGAATAAGCTAGATAAGCTGCAGCTGACCCAAACAGACCCTTAGATGTTAGACATGTGAGTACATAGAAAATAGGTGATATGTAAGTAAATCTCCCTAATATTAAATACCGAAAAAATGTTTATATCAAATTTTGAATATATTTTTGCCTCTAAGTTTATAATTTTATCATATGTAAAATAATACATGCCTTGAAGATATTTATATAAAAATAGGAACTTATGATATTAAGTAAAAATGTTGTAGATTACTATTTTTTTCACAAATGGGTGGCTAATTTATTGTGCACGGATTTCAAAGAAATGCTATAAAAAGAACATTAAGAGTTAAGACATTCCAAGACAATTTTCTTTTCCACAACATTCTTTAAAGCTCGTTCATCCCTTCCTTCGACTTCACTTAAACAAATTGTTCAACGGTTATTTTGAATCGATTTTTATTTTATTTATTTATTTTCAGCATAAATGAACCTATTTTTTAGCTAATAATTTAGGTTTGCCCTGCGACAATATTATCTGATTAAGATATGATCGTGAGAGGATATAATTTACACCATCTACATAAATTACCATGAATAGTATTTAAAACAAATTTTGAAGCATTATTCATGAAAACTACAAATAAATCATTGAATAATTTCATTTGGATAAAAATAAAAGTTGACTACAAGGTAAGATCATTCATATTTTATCACTTGATGTATCTATCAATGAACATCATAAATCACATTAAACTCGTATTCATGCTAAATATACACCATTGTCGTATATCTAAATCAATGTAACATAGCTGCCTAGTTCTATGAGGTAACTCACTATAGTACCCTTAAGCATTAGCTTTGATTGATTATATGTACCTTTTTAACACTTTTGAGTTCATTTTTGAGTCAATTATGTAAAAGGCATGGGATAATTAAATAAATTTATTTATATTAACTACTTACGTAAGAAATGTGAAGAAGAAAGTTGATTGTTATGCACTAGAAAGAAAGATAGTCTATATTTTAGAAGACACAAAGGGTCTGTTTGGGGCAGCTTCATCTTAGTAATAAGCTGCTGAAAAAATAATATGTTGTTCAAAGCTGTGACGGCTATTACAATTTTTTTTTTTTTTTGAAATTTCAGACTACAGTTAGAAAATTATCACCGCACCTAGTTAGGAATTGTGTGAAAATGTTGGTTTTCAGCGGTTTGAAAGCACAACTTTTTGAAAAAGCTACCAAAATGCAGGGTTCTGGGTGCGTTTTCAAAATGTGTCGCACCAAATAAGTTATCCCAAACACGGCCTAAAACTTATTTTCTTACACACACTATACAAATACAAAAGAGAAACCAAACAACCAATATGTTTTACAAAATTTGTAATCCAAAAAGGAAAGTTAAATAATAAAAGAATACAAAAAATTCTTTTAAGGATGGTACAATAATATTTTTTAGTGAAGAGAATAATGTCACCTTTAATTATGGCTAAAGTAATTTCGTGTACACTTTTTCTTCATCGTGGGTCACATCTTCCTCGAATTGTCCTTTTCCTATTAGGGATACACTTATATTTTTTTTAAATTATTGTTTATGCTAGCTCGATGGCTTAATTGCTAAAAAACTTTGCATCTATTTTTATTATATTATCATAGTATCGTAATCAATTGATGTATTTTGTGATATGTTATCATCATATTTTCGCATGAATGGCTAAAATATTTAATCTATAGTATTATTTGAATATTTTGCAGTTAGCTTGTTCGGTGAGATATATGTCGATCATTAAATATTAAGGTACAATCAAAATGAGTTGAATTTGTGACAAAGAAGGCGGGGTTGGAGTTAATTAGTAAATACAATGTTAGTAACTTATATCAATATGAAAATTTTGTTGTTTTATGGATGTTCTAAGCAATAAATGATTATTTTTGAAGCACCATTGAATCATTAATAGGGAAGTTAGCAAACAAACCAATTAATGTCAATGCCAGATTGTTATATTAGATGACTGTTTATGATACAATCTATAAAAAAAGGATTTCAAAAGTCCAAAAGATTTATGAATAGTGCATGAAGTTGATTCATTAAGCAAACCTTGAGAATAAAATAAAGGCAAGCATAAATGGCACCAGAGTGTTTAATTTTAGTTATAGTTCTTAGTTATTTAAAGACATAAAACTTATTACGATGGTTATATTACCATCTTGAGAGCAATAAGATGTAGAATTATTTAAAAGTAATGTTTTGATGATCTAGATTGAATATCAAAGTAGTAGAATTTATGTTTAGATGTGAAATCTTTCAAAAGATGAAAGTAGAGTACCTTCAACTATATGTTTATGCCAAGTGGAAGTTAACTGATTAACACAATTAGCTTATCTTTTTGTTATTAGTAGTAGTTAATTGATCAATAAAATAAGCTTATATATTGCTTTTTACATGAACTTGCTTAATAGATAGATTAATATTATTTAATGTGAATGAAATATTTAGGTTGATGCATTTATGATTGTTGTATCTAACCATGAGGGTGAGTTTATTTCTAAACAGTGGAGAGATACAAGTTTTGACACTAAATTGAGCATATGATGATTTTTTACCAACATATAAAGGGACAATCTAAGTGGGTTATACAAATAATTAAGGATTTATGTAGGGTGCATGTGCTAATTTTAAAGGGAGATATAGGTGGTCTATACCATTGATTAGTTTTGCTTATAATAAGAGTTTTTTAGTATCATATTCAGATGTCTTCTTATGAGGCTTCATATGTTCAAAAGCATAAACGATTCTAACATAGATTGTGATAGGAGAAAGTACATTGTTGGGTCTAAACTTAATATGACTCCACAAAAAAAGTTTAAACTTATTTGAGAGGCAACCAAAGACATAATGAAGATCTCATTGGAGGGTGCATGCAAGTTCAATAAAGCGAGGATTTTGAGTTCAAGATATATTGAACCGTTTTGGATGATAACTAAAGTCACAAGATCTGCATGTTGATTGTTTCTAAAAAATATATGTTTGAAACTCATACTGCATATTTGTTTAATTAAGAATAAGGGCTATACATGTTATAATTACAGTTCCAAATACTTAAGTTGAACTATAAGAAAATTTTACTTGTACATAATAATTTAATCATATTTAGACATATTATGCAAAGAACACTTGCAAAATTTACAAATTATTATAATAAAATTTTTGTGGAATCACCTGCTTGATAGAGAAGCCAAATGAGAGAGAGCATTGAATTAACTTTTGGACCAAATTATTACACATATTTAACTTTTATTAACTTTACAAATACATGAAATATTGCTCATTTCTTTATGCTAAATTAATCAATCAATTAGGGTCATTTGAGATCACTATTTTCTTAAAAATTTATGTATTAAAACTATTTATTTTATTGTACCTCTTATTTTAATACAAAATAAAATAGACTCAATGCCTTATGAGCACTTTAAAAAATGAAAACAAGAATGATTACATAGTAGAAAGTCAAGGAGATAAAAATCTAATACCAACATTGAAGATTGAATGTGACAGAAGACAATGACCTCATATATATATCCTCAAGTTAAATAAAATGAATTCTTCAACAGCCCCAAACCACCATCTCCACCTCATCATGCATGAATAGGTGGCTCATCACACACACACACACACACACATCATTTTTAGTTTGTCATGCCATTTAATTTGAGGGGTAATACACACCAAGTTTAAAAGATATAAAATCATGAATTCTATAATTCCTTTCTTTCTAACTTCTAATGCTAAAGATATAAATTGTGAATTTTGAAGCTTTGATGGCAATTCTAAGCATGATGTGAGCTTGCATTAATGGAGGAGGAAGAAAAAATAATAATAAATTAAAAAATAAAATAAATAAAACAAAAGAAGAAGTTGTCTGATATAAGAACATTGTGATATACTAAATGGGGTATTGACTTGGGATATGTTTTGGACAACTTTCTGCTTGTTTTGTGTTTAGACAACTACCATAATTCTAATTGGGGAACTAATTCCTTGCTGCTTTCTAGAAATTTTTTATGATGGAAAACTGTTTTTTTTTTTAGCCTAACCTGTTAACATTGTTGTGACTATAAGTATGCTGTTTTATGATTATTTAAAAAAAAACAACAGTTGTCTAAGAAGTTACTTTCTTCACAACAACTTTAAAATCATATTTTTAAAAGTTGTAGTCACCGCAAACAAAAAATTAATATGACTTTTTGCTCTCACTATTGTTATTCATTCGCATAAACGAGGGACATGTCAAAGCAAGTGGGTATGGGGAAGCTGCAAATTATTGATAATCTGATGATAAACAACTGATCCAGATAAACTGTTGATCAGTGGCTGATCCAAATAAGCTGACTATATGTTTAATTTGTGCGTTTGAAAACAACTGATTACAGATATTTATGAAAAAATGACCATTCTGCATCTGTGCAATAATGTTGTTTACGACAGAACTATCATAATTATAATAAATCTGTTAATATTTGTTATTAATTTTTTAATGCAATCAATATTTATTAGAATTGTACAAATTTGAACTTAATATTAACAGTAAGTTAAGATAGTAAATATAGATAACTAATATATAATAATAGGTATGAATATTAAATATAACATGAATTTAATCTTATAATAATAATATTTTAACTAATATCTAGATGAACTTCCATCATCTAATATAAATCTCGAGGTAACTTTTTTAACAAAAAATTATTCAAATTTTGATTAAAAAGACATTCATAACTCCAATTTCACCAAACACAATCAAACTAAAAGACTCGACAAGACAAACCCCACGATATTAAAATTGGTCCAATGCAAGTCAAATCAAGCTTAAATAAAGCCATTAAACTACTTTTAAATACTTTTCAAACATAATTTAAAAGTCAAACAGATTCCAAATCCGGCAAGCTTATAGCCAAATTAAGTGACTGTATAAGATAAATCCGATGAGCTCAAAATCACTCAATTCTAACATCATTAACACACTTAAATGCCCGTTGAATGTTGTCCAATCTAAAGAAACATCAGCTCGTCCGATCAAAGTGGCATGAATTCCTTCATTATTTATAATCTGGAATTTATAAATAGAGTCCTACCCCATCTTGAGAAGGGGACTGGACCTTAACTCAAAGGACGACCAAAGCCCGAAGAAGAGGGAGTTGAAGTCCATTACTCTCCCCCGACAATTCGACGACCACTGCTCGCCAGCCGCCGATGACTACCATCGGCCGGCCTCTACTCCATGCGAAGTCCAGACTCATGTTGCAAACCGACAAAACACCTTGCGAAGTAACAACTAACACCACAAAATCATGAAGCAATGTATGAAGTAACGCATCATTCTGAATATCGTGCTGACCACGAACACAACATACCGAAGCTTCAACCATTACTCCCTACCACACCGCTCCCCACCATGGGGGACAACAAGTTATTCTGCATACAAACATTGTAACTCAAGGAACTGTGCACCTTTAGTTACATCTGGGACAATGAATTGTACTTGTAATAACCAATTGATAGTAAAACATTTCAATTGGGCAAGACATCATGAGTTTTTTTTCATTTATGAGTTTTCAACATAAAAATTTTTAGTGCATCTGCTGATTATTTATTTTCATATGAGCGTGCTATAATCTCATATGCCGCAAAGATGAAAATTGATTACTCACATCAAGTTTATAAATACACAAATGGATAAAAAAAAAAAAAAAAGACAAAGTTGCCATAACAATATTTAGTAATGTTCCCAACATAACAATACCCACATCAAAACGAATTACACCCATCCAGTAATCACTACAAATGACAGAAAATTGAAGCAAAAAAAACAAAATTACAGAAACAATTAGAGGCATTTACATACATACCACACAATTCTTATATATTTGAAAATATCTAACACCAAAATTTCATATTCACACACAACACTTAGGGCCCGTTTGGGGCAGCTTATAAGTGCGGCGGCCGTACAGTTTGGTTCGCGTGTTTCGCCAACTTATCCAAAATTGCGTTTGGGTTTTTACACTAAAAGCAGACCGCAAACTGAACCCCGCAGCAGCTTATCCTGAAATGCACAAGCTGCCCCAAACACACCCTCAATCTTTAAAATCAGGAAAAAAACATCACTGTCATTACCTTTTTACAAGTGAAACATATCATTTCATGAGCAGTTTTATAACACCAAAGTAATATAGATGTAAATATCAAACTTTAGGTGTTAAATATGTACATACATAAGAATTATGTGGTACGTATCTAAATTTTCCAAAAGAAATCAATAGCCGAAGACAAATCATACAGTTTAAATGAAGAATTAATGCCTTTAAATTACACTATAATAACATAATATTACAAATTTATCTGAATGATTATTTTACTTGGAACTACGGCAAAAGAAATCAGCCAGTCTCTAATCACACCATCTAATAAAGAACAGTATGAAAATCAAATTGAATGAAAAATGGGCACATACATGCGCCACAATTCTTAGGAATTTACATATAAAAAGTTTAAACTTTGATTTTTTACATTTCTTACCCTCAAATCTTTCGCATCACATCAAAAACACGAGTAATACAAAACATTTTAAAAGTGAAATACACCTTTCAATGCATATGTGGTATTAGAGTAAACATCAAAGTTTAGGTTTTAGATGGTGGCATGTATGTAAATCTTCCAAAGAAAAATGTCAAATTTACATACATAGCGCACAATTCTTATGTATTTGCATATCTAACACCGAAAGCTTAATATTTTGGTGTTCTGCATGAAAATGTATATTTCACTTTGACAACGTTAGTGGTAGTGTTATTTTGGATTTAATGTCAAGGATTTAAGCAGCAGGTAATGTAAATATGAAAGTTTGGATGTTAGATATGTAAATATATAGGAATTGTGTGGCATGTATGTAAATCATCCAAAGAAAAAATAATGAATATTTTCCAATAGGACTTCTGGTTCAGACTTACAGCAGAGCTCAGGTAGACTGACCAGTTGTCCTGCGGCTATATGAAAGAACCATAATGAAATCCTTAGCTGAGCTACCAACTGAAGCCTTCACTCTCTGCGAGCATCCATGGCTGAGCCATTGATCTGTGAGCTCATGGAGGGAGAGTGTGGGACTAACCACCTGCCCTCTGCAGGCAATCTCCACCTGCCAAACTTTTTCTATGCATGTAAATTTCAATTTTTACATATATACCACATTATTTATGCATGCAAAGGCGTATTACTTTTGATGTGATAGGAAAGATTTGAGTAGTAATGTAATTATATAGGAATTGGACGGTATGTATGTAAATGCCCCAACATACTATTTAGAGCTTGAAATTTTTTTTTTTTTTTTTTGCATTGTTTATATTCATGTTATTGTTGTTGTATTGTTTAAACGTCAACCATCTGATGATCCGATTAGGAGAGTAGATGTTTTAGACTCAACTTATGTTAAGAAAGGCTGAGGCAGGCCTAAGAAGACTTGAGCTTGTTGCATAAAAAATTATCTTAATTTATTAGAACTAAATGAAAATATGACACTAAATAGGACTCAATTGAGAAAAAGGATTGAGAAAAAGGATTCATTTCATGTAGCCGACTCCACGTAGTGGGATTAAGCCTTTGTTGTTGTTGAATTGTTTATATTCATGTTACTCTTTTTTCTATTTTAATCCTTCAACAAAACTTTTGTGCTGTGCTTTTTAATGCAAGCTTTTGGTATAATTTAGAGACATTTACATGCATATAACATAATTCTTATATATTTATATATTTAACATTTAGACTTTCATGCTTAAATGAATAAAACTCAAAGTATTTATAATCACATAAAAATACCACTATTACTAACTTCTTAAAAGTGAAATGCATCTTTTTATGAATGGGTTTAGAACAGTAAAGAGTTATAAAAGTAAATATGACAATTGAGTATTAGATATGTAAATACAAAAGAATTATGTGGCATGTTTGTAAACTACCCTAATATTTTTTTTACAATATAAAACTTCACATGAGATTTGCAAATTTCATATAAGAAGCTGATCAATCATAGTAATAGTAGAGAAAGAGTGGCGCACTACTGAACTCAGCTGATATAGAAACAATATATCTAACAATTAAGTCTACAGAAGTCATTGTCATGATGGTTAAAAATAGTGAAATTTACACAATACCAGAGTTGAGTATTATTTGATTGTATTGGAGGGGACTTCAATAAAGCTCCATACAACAATTAAGTCATGATTTATATTATTATTATACAGATTAAATAATTAAAATAGTCCATACACATCTTAAGTGTGTCCAATTTAGTCCCAAATTTTTTTAGGCATTTAATGAAGTCCCTCAACTCATCAAATCTCCCACAGAGGACTTTGTCAGTATAGAAATAGGAGACAAATTTTTCATGAAGGTAACTTGGATTATTATAAAGTCAATCTCACTATTTAATATCAACTCAAACTAACAAAAAAGTGTAGTTGTCATTTGACTCTTTGTAGAGGTCTATTTTAGTCACAGAGTCCATAAAAGTGCAAATTTAGTCCCCAGTTTCTTTTAATGGGGGCTTACATAGTCTTTCATGGAAACTATTTTAGCCCATATTAAAAGAGCTTGAAAATTAAATTTAACATTTTTATAGACTGAGACTAAATGACCTCACATAAATAATCATGAGGACTATTTTGATAATTCACCAATCAAAACTAAAGAGATATACTCTAAGAATTAAAAAAGAATTTGTCAGAGTTTTTTAAAAATAATCATATCTTAATCAAATATATCAGACATCTTTTCTTACCTCATCCTCACTTGCGAGGTTGAGCTTCTTTACAAGGTATTTCTTGAGGCAAGAAACGGGTAGATTGCCTTCCCTGCATATTAAGTATTATCACCAAATTAATGAGGAACTCATGAAAGTAAATTATAAGGCCAAAAACTGAAGAAAATTGAGCATCAGAAATGGTTATCAAAAGAACAAAGCTTTCTAACTAATTATGCTGCAGTAAATTCTTGGGCCATTTACATGCATACATCCCAATTCCTATGTATTTACATATCTAACACCGAAACTTTACTTTTTACATCTCTATCACTTAAATCTTTCAAATTACAACAAAAAAAAAACTAGTATTTTAATTTTTCAAAACTGAAATAAGACTTTTACTACATGGGTAGGGTGGCATATATGTAAAAATTGAAGTTTAGGTGTTTGATATTTAAATACATAGGAATGGTGCGATATGAATGTAATTTTTCCTAAATTGTTTAAATCAAACCCAAATGATGTGATAAATAGAATATTTGTCATATGCATTCTTCCTAGATGTTTGAAGGATGAAAGCTATTGAATAGGAAGTTCATGAAAAGAGAGGGAAATTTACATAAATACGGCACAACTCTTATTTATTTTCATATCAAGCTCTTAAGAGTTTGATATTTACTTTTATAGCATTTTGGTGTCATAAACCAAAGCATGAAATGGTATATTTCACTTTAAAAAATTTAATGACGGTGATATTTGGATATAATGTTATAGTTTTGAGTGTTATGAAAATAAATATGAAAGTTTAGGTGATAGATATGTAAATACATAAGAATTGTGTGGTATGTGTGCAAACGAGCCCCCTACCCAAATCGCAATTTTATCTCGTCACTGTCAAAGTTTTGAGTAAATAGGCTGAATCCTGAATAAGCTCGATGTATTTTCTCTTTGCTTTCATTCCATTAAATAATAATATTACTATATATTTTAGGTATAAAATATTCTGTATAATCTATTTTAGCTAACTTAATAATGCATATTCATAATCTAAATATTCAGCTAACAGGAAAATAAATCAGCATAAAGAAATTGGAAATAATTTAAATAAGAAAACTCCTGATTATAGAAAACTCTTAATTTAACTGTCTGATTTCCGTCCTTCCTGATTGATACCCCCCCTCAAATTGATGTTGACTGGTCAAGAAACATCAATTTTCCAACAAGAAACTTTGTCAGGACCAACAATTCTCAAGCCGTGAGTGCCAAAGCCGAAGATGTCGAAGCCGAGAATGTCGAAACTTCTGAGAGAACTCCTGAACCATAATATAATTTAAGCAAAGAAAAACAAGAAATTCTCTATCTTTGCCGTCCAGAAATTCAAATCATAGCCACAAGAAGGATTCGCATCCAGTTACACGATCCAAATGCTATCGATCATAACCCACAAGAAGGATCCAGTTACATAAGGTTCCAGTTACATAATACAAATGCTACCAATCATAGCCCACAAGTAGGATCCGCGTCCTATTATACGATCCAAATGCTATAGATTTTTCTGGCGATGACGAGGACGATTTATTCCCTGGTCTTCACGCCAAAAGTGCTGAAGTCAAGATCAGGCATGCAGACAAAAAAAAAAAAAAAAAAAAAAGAATGTCTCGTTGGCGCGCAGATAAAGGAGACGAAGCGGGAGCCGCTGCGGATGGAGTTTGAAAGAAGGAGAGGCTCTGTCGAGACCAACCGAGTCGAAGAGGAAGACGAAGTAGAACTAAGACGACGTAGGCGAAGAAATAATCAGACGAGAGCAGACGACGAGAGATTCCAGACGAGCAAACGAGCAGGCGAGCAGATGACGAGTAGACGAGCGATTCACGTCGGTTCACCAGACGAGCAGACAGACGAAGCCATCGCAGCGAACGAAGGTCCCTCCGAAAGATTCCAAGGTGGAACATGCGGAGTCGTGTCTGCATCCGTTGCAAGGGGCTTTGTCAGATGGGCAAATCAAAACAAAGAAATAGTTCCGCCCTTCCTGTTAGAAGGCCAACGTGAAAGGAGTCTTGACAGTCCTCCAACGACTACCGGTGGTTAGGGCAAAATTTTGGCTTTGATACCATGTGAAAGTTTTGCGTGAATAGGCTCGATGCCTTTTCCCTTTGCTTTCATTCCATTAAATAATAATATTACAATCTATTTTAGGTACAAAATATTCTGTATAATCTATTTTAGCTAACTTAATAATGCATAATCATAATCCAAATATTTAGCTAACAGGGAAATAAATCAGAATAAAAAAATTGGAAATAATTTAAATAAAAAAGCTTCTAATCATAGAAAACTCCTAATTTAGCAGTCTGATTTTCGTCCTTCCTGATTGACGGTCACATAAAAGAAAGGAAGGTCACTTAATAAAGAATAATTATACTTAATTGATAAAGTTATGTTTGATAGAAAACTCACAAGAGTTTGTAGTCCACAGAAGCTTATTAGCTGCCATGCGGGGGTGATGCAAGAAAAACTTGCCATGAATCATCTAATAAACAAGATGGCATGCTCGAACATGGAAACCATTTCGAGATAAGAATTTTGTGCACGAAATTTAACTAAAGATGTCTAAGAGTAAAAAATCCATAAATCTTGCATAAAAGTTTAAGGAAATGAACCCCCGACTTTTTGTAAAGGATCATTTTAGCCCCTGAATCTATAAAAATGTCAAGTTAGTCTCTATATACTTTTAATAAGACTTGGAATAGTCAATTAGTGGGACTATTTTAGTCTTTATTTAAAGTGTTTAGGGACTAATTTGACACTTTTATATACTCTGGGACAAAAATAACAATATGTAAATAGTCAAAGGACTATTTTGATACTTTACTCTTTATTCATTATTTTCTCACTAACTTTTTGAGCTCTCACTATCTCTCTCTCTCTACTTACTTGCTACATGGGCTTTGTAAAATGCACAAGTTGTAATTTTAAAGATATCTAGATGAAATAATAGATAGCATAGGAATTCAACTTTGATTAACATAATTAGCGGACAACAAAAGGCTCAGTGGGTTTTTCCTTCAAGGTCATCTGGAACCAACCGTCTTTGATCAAATACTAAACAAACCATAAATCTCTGGTTTACATAAGATACAGGCTATCAAAAATTTTTAAAGGCAAAAGTAGAAAACTTCTCTAAATTAGGCACGCCGTTATTTGAACACCATAAATCTCTGGTCTACCATAGAAACAAACTTATAGTTGACTATTAATTTACCGTAAATCTCTTCATGCAAATCACATAAGATATAAAACACATAATAAAAGTGCTAAAATGAGAATAAGCATCTTAATGGACACAAAAATAATTTAAAATCGATCCATAGATGAAAATGACATTATAACAAAATTAAAAACAAGCAAGTCACACAAATATGAAATAGATAGATAGGTAGATGGATGGATGGAAGAATACAAAAAAGCATAAATAAATTCAAAATAATTCTATTCATTGTGAATAAAAAATGGAGAAAATAAACTCACTTAATTCTTAGGTATGATGCTGATATCTGAGGCAAAGAAAAATCTCCTTTTCTGCAATAATTTTATTAAAAAACAAAAAAAGTCATTAATAAAACAGTTAAAAATATGTGAACGGTAAAACAACTTCAAGGGTCCAAATTCTCACTGATCAGCTGAGGAAAATAACGAAAGCCAGACCGGACAGATCCTCCTTTCCCGTGAGGCGTCAGCAACATCAAGCACCGCTTGAGCAGAAGGCCCTTGCTCCTTTCTTTTCCGACTACTGCCTTGAATTCTCCTTGCTTTAGCCATTGCTGATGAAGCTGAAACATGGTTATTCTTCTCATCTTTCATTTTTAATTTACAAGGTTGTTCCCGGGCCTTTGTTCGGCAAATATGAATTTCATTGTCAGCTCCATTTGTTTGCTCTGCCTTAATAACAAGTGTTTGTGAACTGCACTTGAGACTCTTCGTCCTATTGGCAACTTCAACAAGACAGTTCAAAGGTTTCCACTGCTCATATTTATAACTTTCTGAACTGTTATGATTTGATGTTTCTGCATTCAATGAAGTCTGCAAAGTTTGGACGAATAAAAACCACATAATTGATTAGATATCATAACTGACAAATAAGAAGTTGATAGAAATCATCAAAAAATTCCCATTTAAATTATTAATTATGAATTTACCTGCCTTCTACTGTGAGACATTTTGTTTGAGGCCTCCATTGAACTGGAATTTGCAGGATCATCATTAGAACATTCTTTCTTCTTAGGTTTATCAATAACCGGACTTACTCCACGTAATGCCGATGTCCTCCGAGTTCCAGCTTTCGTTCGCCTCCCTGTCAAGCTTGTCTGTGCTCCCATTCGAGGGGTGTTGACCACTAATGAAGATAGTGACCGTTCCTTCCTCCTAACTGGCAATGTAATGGAAGGGGGCACTTCAGAACCATTGGCCTTCTTCCTTTTATAGGGGAAGATCTTTGTTCTCACATCCTCAAGGGTATGATCAGGCCTGGATTAAGTTCAATTTTAGGCAAATGCTAGGGAAATTTACATACGTAGCATACAATTCTTATGTATTTATATATCTCACATCTAAACTTCCATATTTTTATATATAGAACTTTGGTGCTTTGAACCTATGCATGAAAAGGTGTATTTAACTTTTAAAAAGTGGTAATAGCACTATTTTTATGTGATATTAAAGCATTGAGTGCTATGTGTACAACTATGAAAGTTTAAGTGTTAGATATGTAAAAACATAAGAATTGTGTGCTATGTATGACATTGGAAAAATAGAAGTTAGCAAGCATTTATAATTACGAAAATTTTGGCATTGATTACGCCACAACAAGGAATACAACTGTGTTGTTTTCAGGAAAAAAACTCATTCAAAGAAAGAGAGAAAAATGATATACTTCTTTAAGATTGCATATAAAATAATCATTAAATTATCTTTTATTTTATGCACTACAAACTTAGCTACAGTGAATACATTGTCGGTCAACTTTTCGATATAGATAGATTTAAAAATATGATATATGAAAATAATTTTTTGAGATTTAATTTAAGTATAAAAGATATATAGTTTGAGTTTTAAAGGTAGTGTGTTTTAGTTTTTTTTTTTTTGAAAAATGAGACCAAATGGATCTCATTCGTCCAATAGTTTGCATAATCGTGCCTGATACCGCGAATACTACACCCTCCCGAAAGATAAGTGTAGACCTCGGCGATAGACCCAATCCAGCAAACTAAGAGATTTGTGACATCCGTTTAGTCTGCGAACCTTTTATATATGACCGACAAATTCCCCTATTTAATACAAAGATTAAATAGGGTTTATTTTACCTGGGTTCCAAGTTCCCTATAGAGGCAAGCCCCTATAGTTAATTACATCCCAAATGACGGGAGTCACTTGAGAAAACTCTCGATAATGATCAATGGTTCTAGTCTTCAAGATTTCAAGGTTCAGGTTTTCAAAGTAGGACGTAGAAGGGCAAATGGGAGTATGGGGATCGAGCAGGCAGTGCGGCGGCTGCGATGCGGGGACCTAGCGAGCGGGACTAGTGCAGATGGGCGAGGGCTTCGGTGTCGAGAGAAAAGGGATGCCGCGATTAGCAGAGGAGGAGCGGGAGATATCCAATCGGGGATCCTCTCCGAGGAGGATACGACAGACGGGTGAGCAAGCCAGGCGGGGCAGAGAGGAGAAGAAGGTAAGTCTTCCTCTGCTGAGGGAGGAGAGCCGTAAAGGTATAGACGCGAGTATCGGTTAGAAGCATTAGGCGCCAAATTAAATACCTTCCATGCGGGGGAAAGCTCGTTAGGCAAATATTAATTTCAATTTGACCCTATTAATGTGAGATTAAATGGTCAGTTTGAAATTTAAAATTTGAATTTTGAAAACATTTGAGCTGGGTGATTAGCTCGTGTTCAGCCCAAGTCAAACCTTAGTTGAACCTGGGTTGAGCCCGGGGCCACGTCCTGCTAA